CCTGTCCTTATCTTACTCTTTTTTTTTCAGAGAATTTTCTCTCCCTGCTGTCATGAAGATGAGGATTTTGAGTCTAGTATGATGGTGCTTGGAAAACTACTACTGTTAAGCTGCCATGCAAACCGATCCATATACTTGGAGGACGTGTTAACTGATTCTTTGAATATCATAAAATAGATAAAAGTTCAAGATCCAAGGTTTCTCTTCACTGGAAAAAAATCCATGTGAAAGAAAGAAATATAGATCGCTACAAAAGTAATGCCTCCTATTTATTATCATGGATACAAAAGAGCACAATAACACTTCTTGATAGATCAAATTTCCTCTGGATGGGGAGCAGAATAAACATGATTCAGGAGGAAACTGTTATAGACCTACTACTCCACCTAGATTGCTACAAGTCCATGGAGCCAGATGGAACCTGAAGGTGCTGAGGGAAATGGTGGAAGTAGCCAAACCACTTTCCATCATCTATCAGCATTCCTGTTCAATCGGAGAGGTCCTAGATGACTGGGGGCTTGCCAATGTGACCCCCATCTACAAGAAGAGTCATAAAGAGGATCTGGGGAACTACAGGCCAGAAAAGGTTATGGAGGAGATCATCTTGAGGAGGATGATACATGTGCAAGACAACTGGGGGATCAGGTCCAGGCAGTATGAGTTCACGAAAGGCAGATGATGACCTGGATGAGTGCTTTAAGTGCACACTCAGTGAGGTTGCAGGTGACATCAAGTTGGGAGGAAGTGTTGAACTATATGGGGGTAGGAAAGCCCTTACAGAGGAATATGGACAGGCTGGATTGCTGGGCTGGGGCCTGGAATGAAGTTCAACAAGGCCAAATGCTGGGTCCTGCACTTTGGCTTCAGCAACCCCAGGCAATGTCACAGGCTTGGGGCAAAGTAGATAGAAGACTGTTTAGAAGAAATGGACCTGGAGGTAGTATCATAGAATCGTAGAATCACAAGGCTGGAAACAATCTATAAGATCATCTAGTCCAACCATCTCCTCATCACCATTGGCGCCACAAGCACTAAACCATATCACGCAGCACGTCATCCAGAAACCTCTTGAACACTGCCAGAGACGGCGGCTCCACCACCTCTCTGGGCAGCCATTCCAGTGCCTGACCACTCTCTGAGAGAAAAAGTTCTTCCTTATGTCTAAAATTGGTATTGGTTGATGCTTTGCTGAACATGAGCCATTAGTGTGCTCAGGTGGCCAAGAAGATATCATAGTTTTATGACGATGACAGAAAACCAATGGTATCCTGTCTTGTATCACAAATAATGTTGCCAGGAGGAGCAGGGAGATGATGATCTCTCTGTACTTAGCTCTGGCAAGGCTGCATCTCAAGTACAGTGTTCAGTTTTGAGCCCATCACTGCAAGAAAGACATTGGGACCCTGGAGCATATTCAGAGAAGGGCAACAAAGCTGGTGAGAGGTTTGGAGCACAAGTCTTATGAGAAGCAACTGAGGGAGCTGGGATTGTTTAGTCTGGAGAAGAGGAAGCTCAGGGGTGACCTTATTGCTGTCTACAACTACCTAAAGGGAGGTTGTGACATGGGAGTTGGCCTCTTTTCCCATGTAACTAGCAATAGTACGAGAGGAAATGGCCTCAAGTTATGGCAGGAGACATTCTGGTTGGATGTTAGGAAACACTTCTTTGCTGAGAGGGTGGTCAGATGCTGGAATGGGCTGCCCAAGGAGGTGCTGGAGTCACTGTCCCTGAAGGTGTTCAAGAAACATTTAGATGTTGTACTGAGAAACATGGTTTAGTGGGAAATTCTGGTGATAAGTGGACGGTTGGACTGGATGATCTTGGAGGTCTTTTCCAACCTTGGTAATTCTATGATTCCCACTTAAAGAATACTATTTTTCATCATACTCACCAACATTAACTGTGCATTTTCACCAGCAATGAACAAGAGCCTGCATGCTGCACTCATAATAATTTGCACCATTGGAGTTGATCACTGTTCCTATTGCCACTGCTGAAACACACCATCCACTGCTTCACTGTGCTCATCCTCTGTTTGGTCTCAAATGTTCTGCAAGTATTGATGAATGTCAATGGGTACCATTTTTTCCACACTCAGTGACACCTTTTTTTTTCATCCACACTTCCATGTCAGAACCATTTTGTTAGACTGCCCTCTGTTGCTGTCTGCCAAACAGCAACAAAACATAATGCAGTATTGGTGGAAAGCTTCATCCTCCACTGCTGTACTATCAACATCTGTCTCAGAAGTCATAGGCTGAAGTAGTAAAATAGGAGGCATTCCTTTTGGAGCCCTCATACTTAATTGAACAAAGGTAGCACTGTTTTTAACTATTTTGAGAAAATTCCATCCTACACCAAATAACTGAAAATGATACGCTACCATAGTTGCTCACCACCGTTATTATCCATAGTGGAGAAAGATTGAATCTTGATTGCCTCTGTATCAGAGTTGAACTTGTAGGGGAACATGGCATCTGAAACACTCCATGAATTCTAAAAAGTGGCCTGGAAAATGTGTTGTAGGAATCCAGTATAATCTATATTGCATGTTATTTTATTGCTGGTAAAGTCAACGGAAGTATTGTAGTGATAAAATGTGTCATTTTTCTGGGAGATAAGCTTTTTACAAGAAGATAGTGGGTTTGCGTACCTCTTGACCTTTAAATGAGAGGGGAATATCACATAGCATATCCATTCAGCTTCATACTTCTTTTACAGATGCGTCTTTCATTCCTATCCCTAGCTCCCAAATTATTCACAAGGAAGAAACTATGGTTTTATTATCTTTATTTCTTTACACATTCACAGATCTTATCTACCATTCCTATGTCCTATGTTCATGTCTGATCTACAACATGATGTACCATGAGACCATGCAGCAGGAGAACTCCAAGGACTTTTGAGACTACAGAAGCAGTAATAGATCATATACTAGGCTGTAAAGTTGGAAGAAGGTGGCAGATCATACTTGTTCCACAAATACAGAAAATTTATTTGATACAGCAAAGTTATTCTTTAATATACTTGTTTGCCTCTCTGCAGTGTATTCCAGTGTGATTTTTATGACAGTGTTTGGAGTTAACCATCATTTTCCTTTCTTCTAGACTGTAGTTTCCCATTCCCACTTCACAGGAACTTCGTACCAGAAAAAGACCTTATGGATGAGTAATTGTTGTGTCCTTATTCCAGTCAAAATTTCATCAAGCTCCATCTGAAGAGCTTTGTTATCCACTTAACACATTAGAAGTTCGTTCCAAAACTTTAGACCTTTGCAGTCTAAAAGCCTTCTAACTTCCAAGAAAAAAATGATTTATCATCATCAGAGATGAAGTGTTATGGACTGACCACAATCCCCATTCCCCATTCCCTGTAAACTGTATGATTGCATTTGCGTTTTGAAGAGCAAACTGCATCTAGTTCAGCAGATCATTCATCTTAAAGCCTTCCACTATTTTGAACTTTCACTCTTCCTGTAAAACTGTTGTGGACTGACATTTTCAGGTGGGTTATGTATGTGCTCTTGAATGTCAGGAATTTAAACTTATTCCATGGTTCTGAATTGTTTCTCATATCAATATAGCGCTTTATAAAATAATTTATTTTATTTATCTTAAGTGGCTTGCTGAGGAGTAACAGTATTAGCCAGGCAATGTAACCAAGGTGTCATACTTTACTGCTTTCTCTCTGCCTCTCTATCTCTGCAGCTTTCTATTAAAATCTGTATTTTACTAGTATGGCATAAACCCTCTTGAGAGTTCATTCATTTAATTCTCTCAATCAGACAGTCTACACCTAGACCAGATAGCACAGTACTATCCCTCCTATATTTTCTTAAAAATGCATTCTTGACTTCAGCTACGAACATTATTTTCCTTAGTCAGCTCCACTTCTCTTTCTTCCCTTCCCTTCTGTCACTTTCCTATGAGGTTAAAACCAAAACCATCAGCTGAGGGAGGGCTTAGGGGGGCACGGTATGTGAAGTAATGAAAACCATGAGCAGATTGAGGGGATATACTGTCGTAATATATATATTACCAGTATAATTATTTAGTAGTTTATTGGATTATTCTTACTACTTCAGCACTCCACTGAAGATCAGGATTCCATTTCAAGTGACACATCTTATATTGCAATTAAAGAAAAAAACTGTGAAATGCAAATCAGTGTGGTGCAGTTCACTTATTTATTTACTTACTTGTTTTCAGAGGACCAGCTCCTTGTAAGCTCATAACGAATGCCTGAAAATGCATGCTTCCCTCTGACAAGCTGCAACACCAGAGGAAAGAAGATGGGAATTCAGGAGGTGGGTTAGGGTTAGGGGTAGGGTGGCATAGCTACAGTCACTGCCGACATCTCCAGTTTCAGTCACATTTCACTTGTCTCTAAACTGCGTTGCACTCTTGAAGAGGAAGGACTTTGCAGGACAAACCGGTACAGCCCTGTTGCTGCCGGTGGCGGTAGCTCATTAATCCCTGAACTCCTTCCAGGCTGCTCTTGTACAGATTGGTGAATTAATTCCTGCTGTAGGCACAGACCAGCACTGCCTGATGCACCTGACAGAGCCCCACGGCCGTGCCTGCAGCACTACTGCTGGTTCTCAGACTGACAGCTCCCTCAGCTGGAAACTCTACCGTACATCAGGGGAATAATATTGTCTAAAGATGGCATTTGCCAACAGCAGGTCTTTTTGCAAATGTGTTTCCACATCCAGGATGTGTGCTAACGCTCTTACCTAATGCTGGAAAGTACCGTATCTGGAAAAACATCGTTTCCATTTTTCCCAGCTGTGTTTAAGAGCGCTTTGCAGAGCTTGGTCCCGGTGAAGCGCACTCACGAGACCTTTCTCCGGTTCACCGTCTCTTACTTCCTTTCCCCCCAGCCTGACTGCCGACCTTCGTCCTACCTCGCTCCGGGGCAGGCAGCGGACGGAGCCTCGCGGGAGGAGCCGGGGCCGCCTCCCCGCGTGCCGCGGCTGGCAGCGGCCGTTGGGCAGATCCCGGCTGGGAGGCGGTAACGGCCGACGCGGGGCTCTGGGGGGCGGCAGTGAGTCCGGGGCACGGCCCGAAGCGGCCCGGGCAGGGCAGGGTAGGGCGCGGCCCTCCTCCTCGGGAGGAGGAGAAGGTGCCGCTACCTGCCCACGGCGGGGCGGGCCGCCCTGCCGGTATTTAGGGGAGCGTTGCTGCCCCGGGCGGGTGGCTGCGGTGCGATGAAGGGCGACGACGGTATCGAGAACCTGGCGTTCGAGCCCCCTACCCCTGACTTCGGCGGTCGGCGCCGTGCGAGCCCCGCCGGGGCAGGTGCCGCTGCCGATGCTCCGCCGGCGCAGGAGACTGAGGAGGGGCCCTGCGGCTGGGGCCGCTGCGCCCCTAAGGCTCTGCAGTTCTGCAACACCCCGGAGGGCTACCTGGTTGCCTACAGCCTGCTGGCCATCTTTCAAGGTAACCCGTCCCGCCGAGCCTCCTGCTGCCCGCAGGTGTTTCCCTTCCCCGGATCAGCGGTAGAGGCGGTACATCACCATCAGCTCCCCGAGGTGCCGGGGTCCGATGGTGATGCTGAGCAGTGGGGAAGAGAACACCGAAGGCTGGATGGGGAAGCTGACCCTACAGTATTAGTCATCGTACCTGACTCTATTCTTTTTCTTTCTTTCTGTTCTTTCTTTCTTTCTTTTTTTTTTTCCTCCCTGGTGACCTCTGAGCACCACTGACTCCCTTGACCCTATCAGCTCTTGACTGCTGTATATCTTCCCAGTCATTCACAGGGAAGTGATGTTCTTAACAGGCTGAAAGGTAACAAATTACTTGCATACACTGATAGATAAAACTGGAGCGCGCTACCTGTGCACTTTGTTACATGCCTTCTAATTAATAAAATCCCTTGGCATGGCAGTGTGGGACTTTGGGTGATTAGGATGGCTTTCAAAAATCAGGTTTTGTTCTCTGGATCCCAGTCAGTCTGTCACCCAACCAGCAGCTCGGATTTTGGGGAAGGTGGAGTTCCAGATATTCTTGTCCATCCTTTTTGTATTTGGTAACAAGACCTGTTGGGACCTCAGTGAGCCTTAGGCTTAGCAAGTTAGAATGATAGCTGAGGGAAAAGAGTAGTGTTGGCATACCAAATGTGTAAACCTGAGGATAGGAAAGCTGAGATCCTCATCTGGATCTTCACTAGATTCATATACCTTGAACTTTATTGGAATAGCTAAAAGAGAAGGCTGTGTCTCCCAGGGGGAAAAAAAAAACAAACCAAAAAGCCATAAACAACTGCCTTAAAATTCAACTGTGTTGCACATGTGTGTGCATCACAGAATCACAAGGTTGGAAACGACCTGCAAGATCATCTAGTCCAACCACCCTCCCATTCCTATTAGTACCACAAGCTACTAAACCATATCTTGTAGCTCCTCATCCAGATGCCTCTTGAACACTGCCAGGGACGGCGACTCCACCACCTCCCTGGGCAGCCATTCCAGTGCCTGACCACCCTTTGAGAGAAAAAGTTTCTCCTAATGTGCAACCTAAACCTCCTCTGGTATAACTTCTGGCCGTTTCCTCGGGTCCTACTATTTGCCTGGGAGAAGAGGCCAGACCCTTTTGCACCACAACCTCCCTTCAGGAAGTTGTAGAGTGCAGTGAGGTCTCCCCTGAGCCTCCTCTTCTCCAGACTGAACAATCCCAGCCCCCTCAGCCGCTACTCATAAGATTTGTGCTCCAGACCCCTCACCAGTTTTGTTGCCCTTCTCTGGACACGCTCCAGGGCCTCAATGTCTTTCTTGCAGTGAGGGGTCCAAAACTGAACACTCGAGGTGCAGCCTCACCAGTGCTGAGTACAGGGGATGATCACCTCCCTGCTCCTGCTGGCCACACTATTTCTAATGCAGGCCAGGATGCCGTTGGCCTTCTTGGCCACCTGGGCCATCCTTTGCCAAGACAATGAGTAGCCTGTACTGAAAGCAAACAGGACCTGAATGTCAGTTTTCCTGTGTGGAACTAGGATGGTCTTGGGAGGGCTGGGCTAGAGACTCTTAAAACTTAGAGAGCTGCCTGTTGCTCATATATATATTGGAAAACTCTCAAGTGTCTCTCAGGGCTTTTTCAGGATTTGATTTCAGCCTGTTCTGAACCTGTTCTTTCCTTAGCATACATGTTTTGAGTTAGAAAAAAAAGCATCTAGAGGATTTGAGGCGGAAGTAGCTTTTCTTTGCCTGTATTTGAATGGCTGCACTATTGTTGGGAAGGCCAGGAGGTGGTTATTGTTACAGTTGTCTCTCCATAGCTCAATTTTTTTTCTCAAACAGTAAAGAGTAAGGGAGGGGTGGAATGATTTATTACAGAGTGAACTGCTGTGGTAACTGAATTGCTAAAGATTTTAGAAAGAATAGGGGTAGGAAACTAAAAACATCCTGAAATTGTCTTTGAAAAGTTTTCAGAGTTTTATTATGTACTAAAGAGCATCTTGACTTCTTCCAGCACTTCAATTTGTGAAAACATTATTTCTTAAAATTAGCAAGCTGACTAAGCTTGCTTGGCTGAATGAAAAATTCAGTATCACTTGAATTTATCTCTTACTGCTAATAGGGTTTGTTCTCAGTCATAAAGCATATGTCTTAATCTCTTAAGATGCTGTGTGGTGTTCCTTAAGGCTTCTTAGTCTCGTTATCTAACTAGAGATTTGGCAGACCTTAGAGGAACACTTGTTTAATATAGTCTAGATTTTGAGACTTAATGAAAGTTCAGAGCTCACTTACTTTGAAAGCTGATGTAGGTTTGGTAACTATGGACTCTGTGGTATTCTTAAAGATGTTATCTGAACTTTTCTTAAAAAAAAAAAAAAAAAAAAGCCAACAAGGGAATTGATCACTGGGGACTCACACTGTCACTTCAGAAACAGAGAATGGGAATTTGCTGACAAGAAATTTAGTGTAATATGTGACACTTTGCAGAGATGTTCTGGTGCTGCAGTTGAAGGATTTAGATAGCAACACAAACTATGTAGGATTTTGAAGTTAAAGTACTATCTTGCTTTGAATCTGAAGTATTTCATTTATCCTCCAAATTATAGAAATAATCACTGAGAATGATAAAACATATCTACAAGATTTCCTAGTGTTAATGTACCTCTAGTTTATTTGTTAGTGTGCTGAAGAATAGTGAACACTCTTCCATTTACAGAGAGAGTAAACACGGTAGGTAGTTTCCAGCAGTGCGTGCTTAACCAAAGAGATGTATTTGTAGGTTACTTTCTCCTAGTAGCAGCTGATTACCTGTGTTTCAGCTTCTTGGAAGATTTGAGCTGAAACTTAACTCTTCATTTCTGGAAGTTTTTGTTTCAAGTACAGGTAAAACCTGTATTTCCAGTATAGAAAACTCTTCTTTGCGCAGAACATGCTTACATGACTAATACCTGATTTCTGTATGGCACTTGAATTGCGTAAATGTATGACTGCATCATGTAATACTGTAACTGGATATGCTGCAGTTCATATTTACAGTAGAAAACAAGGTAGAAATTCTCACTTTTTTGAATGCCAGATAGTTTGTTTATTCCTTATGTCAGTAGTGTTTCTTTTCAACAAATCAATGGAACTGGTCTTTGAGACTGCTCCAGGCTAATCTGGTTGAACACTCCAGATAGCACTAGTACTTTATACACTCATTAGTTTTGTCACTGGAAAGACCTTTTATTTTAATTTAACTTGATGTTTGCAAACCATCACCTTAAATATGTGATATGTAGAATACCTGTCAAGCACTTTTTGGTAAGCAGATAAAGAAAAAATGAACTTCTTTCCTTCTTTTTTGTTGGAGCAAATGAAATTCATTTATAACTAATCTAGATTTTGTGGATCACTTCACACTGTACTCAAGCTTCTAACTTACATGAGAAGACAGTAAAGTTTTGGATGAGATTAATTAAAACATAATTTCTGTACTACTACTTAAGTGTTAAGATATCTTCATTTTTCAGATAAAGTGGAGATCAACTAGGTCTCTTCTTTCCTGAAGAGGCTTTAGTGGTTAATGACTAGATAATGGCATTGGAGAAGTTAAACTGCCATTCATCACATCTGCATTTTACAGATGAATCTAATTATCCAATAAAATTGCGTTGTAGGTTTTTTTTTTTTTTAATGGATGTAAATTTAAGATAACTGGTAAACTGCAAGCAACAGTGTCTTCTAATTCAGTAATCAACTTGTGGAGTAGCTCTCCTCCTTCATTTGAATGTTTTAAAGCTGCAGCAAGTGTTCAAAGTGCTTTGCAAATAGGAGTATTTGTTTGTTCATTCCTTCATGCTTCTATTGTTCTTTGGTCACTGCTCCTCTGGAGAGAATGAATAAAGCTGCCGAAGAATTAAAAAATGACATTGAGGCACACCTAAATAGTGCTGTTCATCTCATATGAATTTAAGTATCGTGCCTGGAGTGATAGGTGAAATTGTTATCCTTAATGAAGTGACAATAGTAAGATAATCAAGATTGTGCTAAAAGGTAAAGTGATGGAGGGGATTCTACTGATTAAAAAATCAGCTGGTTAATCAGTGTTTTTTTTTTTTTAATATGTTGTGGACTCTAAGAAGGTCTGTTGAAATTCAGCTCTGTGTAATTGCATCTCTTGATAGTGCAGTGCTTGTTGAAAACTGTCTTAAATCCACTGCTATCCCCAGTGTTAGTCCTCCCATGCTGTTCCTGGAATGGCAGCAGAGAATCATGTTTGAATTCTTAGAAATAGGAGGGATAAATGTAGGGCTTGTGCTGTAAGAGGTGCTCACAATGTTTTGATTTCATTTGCAACTGCTATTTGAAGACCTCCTAACATTTTCCTTCAGTGTTTTATTAAAGGTACAGTTTAGACTATGGTGTAGCTAGTTGACAATATTATGAAGTATAGTTGCTCATCTGATTAGTATCAGAATGTTATTTTGGGACTATTAAAGTAAAGGTATGGGCATTTAACTACTTTCTCATATGGAAGCAGAATGTGTGGCAGGATAAGAAATTCAGGCTAGTACCTGTAACCTGCTTGCAGTGCAAACCATGGCTAACATAACTTATACTTTTGGCTGGGTTTGTTTGTTTGTTTGTTTGTTTGTTTGTTTCATTTTTGCCACTGCATAGGCATAGCAGCTTTTGTGAGGCCTTTGTTTTTCCAGGTCATCTCATACTTCTGCATGAGAGACATTTTTGTCAGTTAAATCACTTTGGTTGCTCTGAAACAGTTGCAGTGTCTTTAAATTGTTTTGCATATTTTTAACTTCATAGATAAAGATATCTGTTCAAAGGCCTTGTATCTTCCTTTTGTGGTGATAGGGAGTAAATACTATTTATTTGATGTCCATATTTAAAAGATGTGTCTAGTATTAAGTAACTTGGTTCAGTCTTAGTTTGTGTCCTCGTGCAAATCAGAAACTTGACTAATTTTTTTAATTTTTTTTTCCTGAAACTGAAATACATTTTATTTGAAATTTGCAACTCAAACTGAATCTGGAACCTTAATAACATTAGCAGACCATGGGGTATGACATTTTGCTGTACTGAGTAGCTGAGTGTTAAATCTCTCCCCACAGGAGAGAACAAAATTGAATAGATTCCGTGCAGCTTGGCTGTCTTAAGTTGACAGCATATGAATCCACTATATGCTTGGATTTAAAAGTCAATAAGTACCTTAAAATGTAGCTTTGTAAATATATTGTTAGTCTTCCTCTGGTGGTGGAAGATGATGGTAAGTTTGTCCTTGCAACCCCATCAAAGAATTTTTTATTAATTACATTTCTGTTGTTGTTTCTTGTAGGTGTTGTGGTAAATGGCCTGATTAACGTCAGTATCACAACAATTGAGAAGCGCTATGAGTTGAACAGCTCCCTTACTGGCTTGATATCTGCAAGCTATGACATTGCGTTTTGTGTATTGTCACTGTTCGTATCTTTCTTTGGAGAAAGAGGGCACAAACCACGATGGCTGGCTTTCTCAGCTTTTATGCTAGGATTGGGCTCCCTTGTATTTTCCTTACCGCACTTCAGTAGTGGAAAATATCACCATGGAGCTAAACTTGAAGGTAAGCTTATTCTTATGTTCTGAAAACGTAGTTTTGTTTTTCATTATTCTTTGTAGCAACTTGGTGCAACTCTTACTTTGGGCAGCCTAGTTAATCTTTGTTGAAGTTGTAAAAATTGAGTAGTATTTCCTAGTAGTGAAAATAAATCCATGAGTTCACGAGCTGTTTCGGTACACTGAACTTTCTTTTTCAGAATAGATCTGAGGTTGAGTAAAGTGCTTTTTTATTTGTATTGATGAGTGTAATCAAAATTCACTTAGACTAAAAAATGATCTGGTATTTATTCATCAGTAAGAATGCAGGTTAGGTCAGTGATGTGGAATAAATGTGAAAGGAAAGCTGTCAGAATTACTGTCTGTTGAAAGGCTACTGCACATTGCAGTTCTGCTAGATTTTGAACTATTATCAAAGGTATGCAAAGGCATGTTGAGTAATTCATTAAGAAGTTTTACTGGGTTTGTCCAAAAAGCTGACTATACTTACGTTTTTTTGGTTTTTTTTTTTTTTTTAAGTAAAGAAGAAACATGCAGTATCGAAATCATGATAGTATCCAACTCTGTCTTACAGAGCTTTGCTCGTAACTCAAGACTTTGAGTGCCGTGTGTTTAATGCCATCTGCTTGTATTTCTGTGTGGTGATACACCTGTAACCAACAAGGAAACATCCAGATATTTTAAAAGAAGGATGACTTAATTTTTCACGGTTATCTTAATTGTTATTGCATTGCTTAAGCAAATTTCTTTAGTGACTAAGTATATTAATATGCTAACTGAAAAACTCAGTAGCTATTAAGCAATCTGGTGGAATGTTCTCAGACTTCCAGCTGCTGGTGCTCGTTTATATTTTTTCAAGTGTTAATCACAAGATGCCATGCACTTCCATAAGCTGTCAAGATGTTGACTATTAGTTAAATAACTTTGGTAAATTACTGTTCCCCATTGAATAAATGAGGGCCTGAGGCAGAAGTTAATCTAGCTTTTAACTTAATAGAGCCAAATGAAAAAGTTTCAACAGATGATTACACATTAAGCTTGTTGCTGCCTTAAGAGTTACTTGCTTCTGGCTATACCACATACTCGTTTCTTTGCAATTACTATTTATTACTCTTATAACTCTCTTTGCAATTACTATTTATTACTCTTATATCTCTCTAGTATGTAAGGGAAGCTGAACTTAATCTAAAGGAAGTTCTGACCTGTTTGTAGCCTTGTTTTCTATTGCAGTGAGATACTGGCAGCACAAGAGTGTTGAAGGTAGATAGCAAACTATTGCAACTGGTTTCTTTCCCTTACTAGCAATTTTGATAAGTATCTGTGTCTGTTCCTGTTTTGTCAGTACATCTGCCATTTCATCTGGCAGTGAAGATGCTGTAGGAGTTAATACTTTATTAGGGTTTGTGTTCTACACTGAGTTTTGAAATCCAGAATCTGTGCAGAAAGTTTCAAGTGGCACATGTTTTCTTCTTCATGGCCCTATAAAGCTAACTGAATTCATACTTAATTTTTTGACTATTGTAATGCAGATACTTGTGCTGTGACAGTGAACAGGTTTAAGGGTCTAAGCTGACTTAAACAAAACACTATCAAAAATAAATGGCTGCGGAATTCAGGAAATGTGTATTATGGCAGACTCAAAGCAAGTTTACAGGTACTGTACAACAGCGTCCTTTCACATTGAAGTTAACCAGAGTACATGTTTTCATTGGATGCCTAGTTTAGCTTGTTTTGATGATGAAGTATCTTAGCTGCACGTTTAGTTGTAAAACTTAATAGTACCAAACACAGTCCAAACCTTTCTTGTTGCTTATCATTTGGATGAGTATTTTAAAGACCACATACTGGGAGTGAATTCAATTTATGAGTGCAACTTTAAAGTTTTGCAGTCTATTTTTTGTTAACATCCGCTTGGTACTTTGCACCACCTAGTTTTTTTACTTATTTCTGTTCATCTATTTGTAAATCCAGTGAGCTTCACCTATAGTATGACTTTAAAGTGCAATTCAGTATAACAGTGATTGACTGCCAGGAAAATTATTACCTAATCTAGAAATTGAAGTCCTGTAGACTTCCTGGAAATTACTGTTTTACCACAAGGTATCTGTGTACTTCTTTGTAGCATAGCATGTTTACCTGCTCAGAACTGTTTCACTGGAAATATTATTGCAGTGTAAAAATATTTAAATCAATGTCTTACTTAATAGCTAACCAGTGGACTGTCTCTTTATGAATAGAAAAACTCAAACGCTTCTGTCTTGTTTGATCTCCAAAAATTCTTGAAACTCAAAACTGTGATGTAGTTATAATCTGTTTTGTTATTAAAGATCCTTGTTTAGGATCTTTAAATCATCATAGAATCTTCTGATCTAGCTCTGAAATTTGGAGTCAGGAGCTCCATCTAGTGGGTTTTTTATAATTCAGCAATTATTTGATTACTCTGACACAGTATGAGGGCTGCAAAAACCACAGTTGAAATGGTGTTATAAGCAATATATTTTTTATGTTTATCTCAATTCCTATTGAAATGACTTTCATGTCAAATGGAAAATTTAGATCCTCACTTTGAAAAAGGAAGAATCTCATTATGAGGATAATCAAGCATTGGAAGAGGTTACTGGACAGTCTCTCTTCCTAGGGCTTTTCAAAACCCGTCTGAGCTGAGTTCTGAGCAGTTTCATCTGGTGTCGGTGTTGACACTAGATTGGGAGGCTGGACTAAACAACTTCCAGATGCCTCCAGCAGCCTGAATTATTCCACAAAACCCTTCATTTCTACTATTTAAGTTTAAATGCATGTCGTGTGATTTAACAAAAATGAAAATGACTTGAGTGCCTTTCCGCAGTTCTCTGTAGTGCTGGAAACTCCGAATGTAGACTAGTCAACTAGGGGCTGATAACTAGTGAATCTCTTCAGAATGGCAATAATTGATCTCTTTTCCTGGAATATATAGAGGACAAATTAAATAATGAAGGAGACTGTGGTACATCTAAAACATGTAAGAGGGCTATGGGGTGAGCAGAATATGTGAGATGCCAGCCTCTAATTTGACTGTTTTCTTTCTTCACCATTGGCATGCCTGTGGATTTCCTGTTGGTTTTTGTTTCTGAACAGATCACCAGATAAGTCAGATGATGGATAGAGCTGCTGTTCTTCACACTATCTGGTATATTTCTCTATACCACTTATATATTACAGGGTTACAGAACATCCGTTCACAGAAACTAAGAATTTGTCCCAGAATTCTGAATCTCCCTTAAAATTCTCTTCCCCATTCAAAACCTACAGGACAGACAGATATTTTTAAGCTTAAGAGGGAACAGAAATTAAGCTGTTCTTTTATTTCTCCACATCTCACTTTTTAATGTACTAAAAAAAAAAAATCCTACACAAACAAAACAGCCACATCCAGTGTAAGATATGAGTAAAGCTAGTCTTGATCTGTATTATTTCCAATTTATGTAATTGCTAAGGCATGTTGCAGTTCTGCTTTCTTGGCTAGCATGTTGCACTAGCATTAAGTCTTTGGGAATACTTCCCCTTTACATAACTTGTATTCAGATAGGCATATTAAAGTAAAGAATGGAGGGAGATATATAATTACCATTTTAGATAATATTGTCATTAAAACAGTTCTGCCCTTCAAAATACTAATCCAATGGTTTTTAGAAAGAAGAGCAGTTTTGTAGAGGAAAAGTTGGATAAAAGTGGTTAGTTACCCATCTAAACTTCTCCCAGAGCTTGGCTTATCTCAGATTAGACTTTTTTGATTATGTAAAGCCAGTGCTTTCTCTTCCACACCGATCATAAGATGGTGGAACTAATATAGGTTAGATTAACCTATGGCACATTACCAGGCTATTTGACTGTTCAAAACCTTATACTAGTAGAAGAGGGGGATTATTTGATTTTCTGAGGTAAAGACAGTGAGTTGTCATTTGATGACAATTTTGACCCTGAATTAAACTAATCTCATCACAGTTTGTTTCATTAGTGAATACTCTTTGGAGAATTTTCTTGAAATGAAATATGAAGTCTATGACTGCAATCAGTAAGTGCATGTACATTTGCTTAGCTAAAAATCAGTAAGTCTAGTGGATGATGCAAATACGAATATTGTAATTGTATTAAAGTATACATTATTCTCATAATTTCATAGAGATAGAGTTTTAATTGTATGATTTGAAAATAAAAAGTGTGATAAATTTTCATCTTTGCATGAGAATAATTATACTGGCTGAAAAGCTAGAAAACTGACAGAGGCTATACTCAGTAACACAATGGCATAAGGCTTCTAAATTGATGTGGAAGAACACACTTGGTTTGGGGACAGGGATTCACGAAGAAGCAGTCTGTCAGAGTTTGGTGGCCATTAGCCTGTGGAATCTTATTTCATGAAGCTATCCCGCGGATCTCAAGCTAGACTAGTACCTTAATAAAATTCATGCAATTTTCTTAAACAGTTGATTACTTATTTTCAGATAAGTACAGATAAGTAGTAAGAGCAAGGTACTCTTATTTAAAGTACAAAACTTAAATAAGTTAATGCTGATTCAGACTTGCCTAATTGGCATTTAGAGTTAAAATGATAACTGTAGGTGTTCTCTACATGCTGTACACAAATATGTATGTTAGCAGAAAATTGTAGGAAATGCTGTCTTGCAATAGATAACTTTAGATACTGTGCATATAATACTAAAAAGTTAACTGGATATAAGACCTCAGTATTGATCTTTTGTGCAGAAAGATGTAAAGAAAATAGATTGACACTAAGTGGAAAACAAATTCTAGGAGCATGAGAGAAGTGCTTCATACTAAAACATACCATATGTGGTTCAAAGAAACATTAAAATGAAGCTTGTTCCTGACTGGGAAAGATTTAAAATGCTAATAACTCCCCTTGAAGTGTTTAATCATTCAGAATTGGCCACTTTGTATACTACAGCACTAATGTACCTGTTATGTGGTACATGACTCTACTACAGGTATGGAGCTGCTGCTTCTTTAGAAAGGAAACGATAAAAGCCCATGATGCATTTATGACAATGTTGGTCAGCCTTCTTTTTTTTTAAAAAAAAAACAAAAAAACAAAAAAACAACAACAAAAGAAAACAAAAAACTGAGTGGCAGGATTTTTCTTGTTTTATGTCTTGTGAGCCCAAAGCATTCATCAGTGAGCTTACCTGATTCAGAGGTTGTTTTCATATTTTCTCAGGATGGTTTGTTTTCACCAAATTGACAGGTTTATTGTTTTCCTCGAGGTTGTATGTTCTTCTGTGGAGAAGCTTGGAAAGAAAGAAACATGCTTTTCTTTTGATCTTGTCAGTTGGGATTGTCTGTTACTGAAAGTGCAGTGATAGGAAGGGGAAGGGAAAGAAAAAACATACTGTCTTCATTTCTTTTTTTTTTTTTTTTTTTTTTTCCTTTCTGCATAGAAGCATACAGGAGCACAGCAGATGCATTCTGCTCTACTTCCTTCCTGTGGTGATTTGTGTTGTGGGATTTCTGTGTGTGAGAGTGGGTTTGTTTGTTTGTTTGTTTATTTATTTATTTATAACTGACTGTGGCACTTTGTTCTCCAGCAGTCCAACTTTCCTCTTGCTGTTCAGGCCATTGTGTTTCTTTGCTTAAGAATGGAGGCTGTTGCTAGTGCTCCTCAGAACTACTGTAGGGCACAAAACCAAACTTAAATATCTGTTTCCTAGCAGTGTTCCCTAAACTGTTGAATACCATTTGACTTTTTTTTTTTTTTTTTTTTTTTTTGTGTACACTTGGTCCTCAGGCCAAAGTGTTTTAATAAGGCTATTTAATCCATATTTTTGTATTGGTAAGGAAAAAAACCTGTTTTTGTTTGCTGTAATCATATTTCTTTAAGAAGATATAATGTAACTGAAGGTTAGTGTAGTTATGCATAGGGTATAGTAGGTGTGAAAAATAGAATAGGAGTCTGGGTGCAACAGTGCAGAATATATGCACTGTCATATGTCATGTATAATATGTACATGTAGAATAAATACAAGTTCTTCAGTTGTAATGAGCTAGGTAGTATGCCTTTAAAATTTTGTTATTTATGTCCTCAGATACATGTCAGATTTCAGGAACAAGCTCTGCTAATTTCACTTGCAGTACCAGGACAAAGTCTTCACTTTCCAATTATCTCTATGTCTTTATACTGGGACAGCTGCTGCTGGGAGTTGGAGGAACTCCTTTGTATACTTTGGGGACAGCTTTTATTGATGATAGTGTTCCAAAGCACAAATCTTCCCTTTATATAGGTAAGTTTTAAGTCCATTTATAATACATTGTCTGGAAAGATCACAGATTACAATATCCAATGAATTGTTTTATGTATTGACCTAAGGCTCATCTTTCATCATTGTATGCTAATGTGCATGAAGTAGTTTTATAACTTGTAGAGTACTGCTGTAAGTATGAAGTCTTTTCAGTAGTATTTTTGCAGGGTTACCAGGAGGTTGCTTTGTGTCCCTCTCTTGCTCTTCCGTCATCTCAGTAACTGAAAGGGCTTAATATAGCCTTCATATAAACAATATGTTCAGGTAAGATGTCTACTGCTAGTATCTGTCCTTTACCCATACCTATTAGCTCTCTACTGACAGTGGGCAGCCCTATGTATACAGGGACACTTATGAGCATCGTGTGATCAGTGCAGTCTTCTAGTCACATCCAAATATGGCACTTAAACATACTTCTGATATATATTCCTGCCTTACTTGAAAGTAAAGAGATTACCTAGTAATGCAGATAATAGATTTATATTTACTATCAAGCTCTTAGAAAGCTAAAGAATAAAAACTCGTAGTGTTAATCTTTTCTCTTAGGGGGAAATCATTGAAGTCATCATCTACTTGCACACCCTTCTTGCTTAATTGTTCCAGACAAGCCACCTCTTCTGCCAACCAAGTGTCTAGTTATTTATGTTAAATATTTATGTTAAATGAAGGCAGCCCTTAATTTTGTTTGTCTTTACTATGAGTTAAGGCTTGTACATTTTCTGAGGATAGTGAAATAAATAGAGCAAAGTTAGTACTGTTGGTATGATTAAGGGATCAAGAAGCGTCTTGAAAACTCAAGAGATGTGATTAGCGTAGAGGCTTAAAATGTAATTGACAGTATAATAAACCTGATTCATTTGCAGTCTTTGGATACCTGCTGAATTTAGCAGAATAGTGTATTCTACTTGATAGAATAACAACTGGAGGGAATTACAGTGAGAGGACAGGTAGCTACATTAAGCCTATAATATATAGTCGTTTTTAACCTTAATAACATTGTACTGAAGATTTAAAATATATTGTGTTGCTTGATACAAGAAGGCTTGTTCAAGACAAGGAAAAAACAGACCACCCTAAAGTTGCTCTTAGTGCCTATAAATAACTGCTAGCACCTTAGTCTGAAAGTTGGTAAATTCATAAGCTGTTGTTTTCTTCCTTCTTGAAAATAGGGATATTTTGTGAAGACTTCTTACGTTGCTCAGTAGAGACATATTTAAATCTAAAGCCAGGGAACTGTTAAGAAGTTCCAAATGATAATTTAGGTTGAATAGTTTGTAGGAGGAAATAAGGATCATGGAAATTTGAAGTTATGTATGATGAATGTGAATTTAGAGTGTTTCTATTAGCTTATCATTATAACTAAAATAGAGGTAAACTTAGAACTCATCGACTGCATATTTATTCTAACTTTCTGGTGTGTCAGTGTTCTGTTTCACTCTCTCCTGCCACTATTTCTTGCTATCTTAAGAGAATGAAATCATATGATACTCATAAAACAGACAATCTAGAAGCATCCTAGAAACATCCTAGAAGTCTAGGTTCTTCAACATGGGGGGCAGGGGGGGAGGATGAAAATCGCAGAGCTTTGGCAGCAGGATTGCATGTCTTATTTTGACAGCTCTAGTTTGCAGGCAGTCTTTCAACTAGTAGTAGAGTTGTTCTGCCAACAGTGTTAATATGCCACAGAAGTATCTGATAGGCCAGAAAGGCTGTGACATCAAGAAAATCTTGTACTAACACAAAAGCAATATAGACTTAAGACTGCTTTTCTGTAGCACATAGATACAGCTGCAGCTTTAGTGTTTTTAACCTAACTGCCAGGAGTAATTCAAATCCATGGCTTTATATTATTAGAATTACATCAGGAAATTGAAGCAAGTTCTCCACAAACTCGAGTGGCAGATATTTCTCCTGTCAGAAACTTTTAATGGAAGCCTGCACTGTAATCTTGTTGATTGTTTAAAAAAAAAAAAACAAAAAACATCTGCATTCAATTGAAGATCAAAGTATGTAGGTTTTTAAAGACAGCATGCATATGCTTCTAACAACTGATGCTTGTAATAATTGCAATGAAGAAACTTTTATGAGAGGTTGTTCATCATATGATTGCTGGACAGGATGTGCTAAAGGTAATCTAACAATGTATGTAAACAGTGCAAGTGAAGTGTGTGTCTTGGTATGTTAAACCTCAGAGATGTAGCTTTCATGAGTGCTGCAAATTTCTGTGTTGAGGTAAAGGTACAAACTTTTTCTTCTGATACTGTACCTGAAGCAATGATACTGAAAGAAGAGGTTGAATTAAGAAACCACTTGGTCTGAAGTTGACTTAAGGAATTTCCTGAAAAGGAAGCTTAAAAATATGATGTATTTTCTCTTCCAGGAATTGGCTATGCCATGTCATTGCTTGGGCCTGCTATTGGCTATGTCTTAGGAGGACAGCTACTTAATATTTATATTGATATCAAGATCCCAGAAAGGCAAGATGAGTCTTCTAGTTCCTATTTTCATTGCTAATAATACTTACTAAAATCTTCAAATCTTTTCCACATGAGGAAGAGAAATGGTTTGTTTTTTTTTTTTTTGTTTGAAAATACTGATCATGAGTGTACTTCGTATTTTAACATGTAAGCAACAAATTTTAATGCACATAAATAACAAAGTGACAACATTCAAGGACCTTCTGTCTCATCTACTTTTAGAAATAATTTTCTATCTCACTGACATCTGAAATCAGTGACATGATTTCATCAGTTTTTCCCAAATTATTTTTCCAGTACACAGATGGACCAAGATGATCCACGCTGGCTTGGAGCATGGTGGATAGGATTCCTTGTATGCTTTTTTGCAATTTGGTTTCTGATAATACCATTTTCATGCTTTCCGAAATACTTGCCGGGTAATTTTTTTTTTTTTTTTTTTTTCTTAAATGGGAATGAGAGCTGCTTTGTAAAGGAGATCTCTTTCTATCTCTAGAGTGCTGGACTCAGAGGCCGATTCCTCTGATTCTCAGTTAATTATGTAATAGCCCAAGCCTTATTGAAATAAAAAGGTATTTATTACTATTTAGCCTTTAAAACATGGGGAATTAGCCAGAGGAAGGATCTTCCAAGTACTAGTGGAAAGTAGAGCAGGACTGGAAACAGATAGAATATGGGAACTGACAGTCAGAATCTGAAAAATGCTTTCAACTAGGTGCTCACAGGACTGCATTTAAGTAAAGATGTTTGCTTATCACCAAAAATCATAAGGAAATCCTACCAGCTTAACTCTTGCATTGTTGTCTTTGACTACTGCATTATAGCTATGGGTAGAATATGAGTTCAAGTATTGCAGAGGAGTCTTAAAAAGAAGATTTTAATACATTTTCTGCTGAGGCAAGTAGTTGCTTGGAAGAGCATCTATCTAAGAGAAAGATCTAAAAGAAAGGAACAATAAAGTAGTGAACCAGGCAGAACATGAGGATTATGAAAACAGTGAATGGACTAAGAATCTAAAATTCTTAAGATGTAATTGCTAATATCTTATTACAGCCAAGGTTATCAAAGGGAAGAATGATGCCTTTAATTAAAATTTTCCCACAGCAATAAATTATTGGTATTCTCTGGCTCCAAGTCAATAGAAATACTCAATTAGTCTTATGGTAGAAAGGAAACGTTTCTTGTAGTATTTCTTTCTACTTTAAGTCTTGAGCACTGTTATTCAATATCTTCTTTATTAATAAATATTCCTTTTTTGCTGTAGGAACAGCAAAAATACAGGCAGAAAAAGTCTCTGAAACCCATAATGATGGAAGTGAGGCACTTGTTGAAACAAAGAATATTGGAAAAAATTTTAAAGACTTTCCTATTGCTCTCCTGGTAAGAAAATATAGAACTTAATACAACTGATATGTACTGAGAATAAGACTCTTTTCAGGTGTTAAATGAATGTTTACTGAGGTAACTTCATCTTCAAAGTGCTGTGGCAGAATTTTTAAGAGTCACTGAGAAATAAAGCATATTATGTTTTGCTGATGTTTTTGACTGCTAACATGAGCAGCGTATTAGTGAAGTTCTGCATGAAAGTATCTGCTTGAAAATAAAGTGGCATCTAGTTTACATGGTGCAATGATGAAATAACACTCTGGAAATTACACAAACTTTTCTCCACAGATTTTATTGAAGAATCCTGTGCTTATGAGTCTAATACTAGCCAGCACCTCAGAAGCTTTAGTTGCCACTGGCTTTGCCACATTCCTACCGAAGTTTATAGAAAATCAGTTTGGAATGACATCAAGTTTTTCAGCAACTCTTGGAGGTAATGAGGTTTTTTTGTTTTTTTTTTTTTTTTTGCTTTTTATTGTTTGTTTCTTTTTAAAATCTTTAACATATTTACTAGGTTACAGCTGGGAGCTAATATAGTCTGTCTTGTATTTTCTGAGATTATTGAGAAGTTATTTGTTTGAAAACAGCTAAAATTGGGTTCTTACAGCAGAAAATCTTTATGCCTATCTGAATTAAAACCCAAGTTTTTAATTTGCCAATGGTGAAAATTTGAGTTGTCTGTATGTTCAGTAAACTAATAGTAACTTTCAAAGTGGAATGAAAAATTTGTATGCTAGTGACACTTTAATTTATTCCTCTATTTTTGGTGAATGGCATTTAATTTTCTTTGTTTAAAATCGTCTAAAGGAGCATGAAGCTGTGGTCCCTCTTATTTTTGTTACCTGATAGGCAGAAGTAATAGGTAGAAAAAGAAGGGCTTTGAAAAGCTAGTATTGTAGAAATCAATGTGGTAAGTGATGGAAAAGCTGCACTAGTTAGGATCACGTGAGTAAGTCTGTAGTCATCTTTCAAGGATAGCAACAAGATCAAGGCAGGTAGGCCAAGAGATACTTGCATTATGACCAGCTTTGTATTTCTGGAACATCTTGCTAAATTACTCCAGCTACTAGTGCAAGCATATGGTAGTTGAAGTGCTCTTTCTCCACTAAGTCTCAATGACTTAGTCCTCTGGATAATACTAAATAGCTACTGCTATTATTATTTAGTCTTCTTTGCTTCAGAGCAAAGTTATCTGTAAGTTTCCAGCAGAAATGCATTGGAATATATGCTGAATTGTTAAACTGTTGTCAGCAGTGGAGGGAGAAAACTAATTTTTCCTGTTCTAGTCTATTTTACTTTGAGTTTGATATTTGTAGTGTTAATTAGATGTAGAATTTTGAAGAAATGTCCACGGTCATGTTGAAAGCTAGACTTACCTGAACTAAGAGCTACCTAGTCTTGAGTGTTATACTTTGAGCCTTTCTCTATGTGCATATGTGCCTGTACAGCTCTGCAGCTGTATCTCAAGTCTCTAAATATCCCTTGTCAGTTCAAGTTGTGCCTTGGAACTCTGTTTTACTGGAGTTTAGCTATATTTAAGCTTTCAGTTATCTCTGAAGTTCCAATAGTGTGTAGGGATAAATCCATATAGATTATGAGAGCAAAACTGGCCAACTTCGGTCTCTGAGAACTTTAGTTTTTAGTTTCTGTAGATGCTTTGTTGTATCTTTTGCTGTCTTCTGTATAACTGTGTTCTGTTGTTTAAAAAGTTCATAGCATGAATTTGGAACAAAGAATCTAGATGAGAAAAAATACTGAGAAACCATGGAATAGTATTTTCAAAAAGCAGATTGGTAGTGTTCAGAGTTTTCTGCCCAGAATTAAGTACCCTTAAGTAATCTTGGTTTGCTTTGTTGAGCTTCAGTTTTGTATGTCTAAAGATTACACTGTGAATTTGATCTTCTGGAAAGACTACAGGTAATATAAAGACAAGATAAATTGCTTTCACAGAAACTATTACATTTCTTACTCTACACCTTAAGATGCAACCCATAACTGTTATGATTTTTTTTTCTTACATAACATGAAATTGCTCTCTGAATTACTTCACTTACTATGTGTTGTACTTCTGTGTAATTGCTTTCTTGTTTTCCTCTAGGGCTTGTATTAGTTCCGGCAGCAGCAATAGGCCAAGTCATAAGTGGCATCTTGGTATCCAAGTACAAAATGGATTGCAAAAACATAATCAAGTTCATCATAGGCACTTGTTCAGTTGCCTTTCTGTTAAACACAGTCTTTTTAGTTGCTAAATGTGGGAATGAGCCTTTTGCTGGTGTTTCTGAAACATATAATGGGTAAATATATTTTGATGCATTTTTGGTGCTAGTGTTTAAACTAAGAAAACTACATTAGAGTACAGAATCTTAAAGTCATAATTTTACCTTGATGTATGAAAACAGAACTGTTTTATGAAACTCAAGATGTTGTTCTTGGTATCTGTGTAATAGATGAATAAGAAAACAATGATATGTATGCAACTTTTAAGTGCTCTGAGTAGACAAGTCTGCTTGTCTGGGGATGGTGGGAGGGTGCTGTTCTAGATGTAGTATTATGTAATCTTGCTGCATTTTTTCTTGAAACTATAAATCAAAGAACTTCAAGTATACATGTATGTGGGAGGGAGAAAAGAAGAGGAACTGGGTTGAGATACAAATCTTTATCTCATCTTTCTTTGTTTCTAAATTGAAAAAATCTGTGGCAGTAATAACAAAAAAAACAAAACAAAACAAACAAAAAAACTACTTACAATTCCAGAAGTAATTCTTTTTTATTTTATATCTACTAGAAATTGCTTTATTTTTGAGTATGAATTATTTACGAGCATGAATTAGTCTTTGGAATAATCGAGATTTGTGTTTCTATGAATAGTGTATTACTTATCTACATGTCTGCTGCTTATAATTAGTTTAAAACTATTATTATTTCAGAACAGGCACGCTACATAACTTAACAGCACCATGCAATGCTAACTGCAGATGCTCCACTTCCAGATACTACCCTGTTTGTGGCAGAGATGAAGTCCAGTACTTTTCTCCGTGTTTTGCAGGATGTACATCGTCTAATCTTAGTAACAAGAAAAAGGTGATTTATAGTATGCAAGTTGTTGACTTAGCCTGTTTGTTTTTCATACAAAATATGTTCTATGTGGCAAGTGTTCTCCCATCAGTATGGTAGCAAATAAGTATCACTAAAGTGATGGTTACTACGGGAAAATCTTACGTGAATTGGAAGCACATACACTTGTAAGTAGGGTGAATGCTGATATGACTCATTTGCTTAGTGTCTCGTTGCAGATGTTACTTCCACTAGGCCTTTTACTGCTGAAAATTCAAAGCAAATCCAGGTTTGATATATTGAGTTGATCACAATAGTAGAAATCAGCAGCTGCCTTGACATTAAGTTGCAATTCTTATCTAGTATCTTAAAGAATAATATAATGTTTATTATATGCATGGCAGTATGCTTCTGTGTATTTGCAAACCTGGAAAGTCACACCCTGGAAAGTAATTTTCCTCTACCATGAATGTTAGGAAGTTATGAAAGTGGCTGATTAGTTCAGCAAGGGAGACTCTTTTCTCCTTGTTTCTGCTAGCATAACAAACACTTGAGCAGGGCTGTGGGAGTGTAGGAAGAAAAGCCTTAAAGGTAGGCAAGTTGAACAGATTGGCTGGGGACTTCTTATCTGATTTGACTGTTTTGTTTTGTGTGTTGTTTTTTTTTTTTGTGTTGTTTTTGTTGTTGTTGTTGTTGTTGTTTTTCCAGTGGAAAGTTCAGACTTTATTTTTCTCTTGAAAACAAACTAGAGTGGATTTAAATGAAGAGCTTAAAACTATTCAGTTTGATCATATCCTTAAAAAAGCAGCCCAACATCACTTCTGTCCTGGTTAAGTCTTCAGGAGTAGTCTTGAAAAAGGGAAGCCTTCATTTCTTTTCCTGTCAAGTACAGCCTACTGTGAAAACCAGTTTGCTTATAGCAAAAAGCATAAAGCCATGTGATATGGGGCTTGCTGACAGCTCATGTAAAGTATGTGGGCTCCTGCGTTTATCTCAGTTGTTCTGCTGCGGTTGAAACTGAATTTGTATTACCTAAGCTTGAAGATAAACTGGAGGAAATAATGACATAAGTAGCTTTGAATCTAAAGAATGAACCTCATTTAAGCAACAGCAATTTTGTAGTTAAAATTGCTTAGAGTAAGATTTTTGAGTTTTTGGAAATAATCAGCAGCTTTGGTTAATAAGCAAGGGAGCAACTACCAGTAGTTAATTTAGTGAAAACATCTATTGAGAAACATGTTAGATATATTGTGCTGTAAGAGATCTGTAGCTTTTGGATATACTTTCCTCAGACATGAAACTTTTGAAAGAACTAGTTGGAAAGAAAGGAGCATTTCACCCAGCCCCTGAAACCTTTAATGGTGTTGTTTTTTTGTTTCTTTGTTTTTTTTTTTTTTTAAGAAATGATTTGTGTGAAACCAACTTATTTTCCAAATAATGTGTTTAAAAAAAAAAAAAAATCTTCAAAGATTTGCAGAAGGGTTTAAGTATGAAAGATAGCTTTCCAAGGTTTATTCTGCTGATGTCTGTTTATAATATAGTGTACTGAGTATCTGTGTCTCTGACTCTAGAATATCTTTACTTTAAGCTTTTTATGTTTGTTCCTCGGAACTTTCTGCACACAAAATAGAGGTTGACTGTTTTGAGTACTGGTCAGGTGGTCATTGGATCAGTCAAATTCTGCTGAATCAATTTAAAAAAATTGGGGTTACGTGGTCATATGGTCAGAAGGAAGTAGACTACTTCCCACACTTGAAGTCAAGTTTTTTTTTTTTTAATTCACTTGGATGCAAATGCACAATACCTACCATATTAGAATGATGTCTACTTAATTTGTTTCATAAATTATTTTTAGACTTACTACAACTGTTCGTGTATTGGGAAGCTGAAGAGAGAAAACGCTTCAGAAGACTTTCTCTTTGAAGCTATATCTGGGAAATGTTCAACACGATGCAAACATTTACCTTTATTTCTGATCTATTTCTTTTTTGCTGTTGTTTTTACATTTATGGCTGTTACTCCGTCTACTGTGGCCGTTCTCAGGTATGCTTTTTGGGCACTAGAGAAAACATGTAAGTGAGAACTGAGATCAGTGAAACCCTTTAATTCATTTTAGTCTGTAATATGGATTCAATTGTATGTGCAAAGGATTTTCTTTTGTGGTGTTTTGTCCACTTAGCAGGCAGTACTTGAAGGAGAGATAGTTGTTCATTGTAGTTAAGTAGATAATGTTTGAATCAGTAAAAATAATCTTTCCTACTTGCAGAAAAAGTAGAAGCAAAGCTCACTATTTCATGGGAGCATTCATTTGACCTCTGTGGTCAAAAAGCAAGGAATAAATTTGCCATGTTTTTGGATGGGGAAAACATTCAACTACTTTGTGTATGGTTAGTTCCAGGACTTCAAGTCTTACTAAGAAAATAACAATCAGTCAATATCTATTTAATTCCTATTCCTTAATTCAGTTTTGGCTGTAGGAACTGTAGACTACCTTTGCTATCATATTAATTTTGTTATATTGGGATTCCGAGGTAGTTAATATGAAATGTGGCAGTGTGTATGTGGCTGTTACTTCTTGTCTTGGCTGTCTTGCATAAAAGCTTGATTTATTGTTCTTTCAATGTGTATATGTGAAGGTAGAGGTCTTTAACTTGATGTTGAAATTTGACTTGTACTTTAAATATTTCTGAGGGGAAAAAAAAGTATCTGTGGTGTAGATATATATGCATTTTTACCCATGGTACTTGAGGAGAAGGCAAGGTGTGGTGGCTGTTAAATGTGTTGTTTTTTTTTGCCAACTTTCTGGATAGTGGAGTTGGGCAATGATACTGCAGCTGTAGTTTGAAATAGTCTCTTTTCAGGGATGGTGTCCACCTGGGCTTAAGAGTTTGCCATGTTAGTCTGTGGTCATACGAGTGTGAAATGCTGCCCAATCTTCAGAACTGAGCTGACAATTTTATTTAGGTGATTCTGAGTAATAACATTTTGAATTTGGAATCTTTAAACTCTTAAATTGAAACTGTTACTCAGTTCTTGAGTACTATAGAGCAGTTCCAATAATTTGAAATGCTCAATGTGAGTTAAATTACTGCAGAATATTTTGATATGTATCTCTCCAGCAAGCCTATTCTGTACACATTGAAATGCAAACCTAAGTGTTCATGACAGTATTCTAGTGCTAGAAGTAAACACTTACACCATAGAAGACTGCTTGTTTTCCTATCTCCAATTGTCTTTGTGGGTAGGGGAATCCTGACAGATGGCTTTCACTGCTCATCTTGGATGAAGCACTTCAGTATACTTAGTACAGGTTGAGTAAAGAATACACTACAGAAACAAAATCACATAAATGACATAGAGTAGGTTGCACTTAATATTTATGTATTATCTTTAAAATGTGATGAAGATAAAATAATTTGCACCAAGGGAAATATCTGAAAGAAATGGGTAGGAGGTAATTTCTTCTAGTGTTGCATCAGTACAGTAATTTGTGTGAGACAGGCCAAAACTGATTTATTGTAAGGCTGTACTGTGTTGTGAGTGTTGTGCTGAAGCTGTCTCTATTCATACATTGCTTTTTCAAGAATAGTTGCTCAGAATAGTATTCTAGCATTGTCCTTTAATTCTTGGTTGTTCTCTGGTGGAAAAAATGTTCAACAATATATCAAAGTGCTGCTAGTAAGTTAGATTTTTACTTATTATTAAACATAGTTTAATATACAATTCCTTGATAACCCATAGGAGTTGCTTCTATTCTTTTGTGGAAACAGATATTAAAGTTCTTTAGTTATTTGTTTTGTGCTGGATTTCTAAAATTGTGTGCAGTCAGCAGGCTAAAATAATACATTAAGATAAAGCATATCCAGTGAGGAAAAATAGCTGGGAAAAGAATCAGTTAAGAAGTTGTTTTCTTGTAATTTTATTTACAGATGTGTGCCAGATAAGCAGCGCTCATTTGCTCTTGGAGTGCAGTCAGTGTTTCTACGACTACTAGGTATAAAACTCTTGCTGAAACTCCTGTCTCTGAACAAGTTGCTTCTCTAAGACTGTTTTCTAAACTTAATGATGCATTAAGAAACTTCCAGAGGGTCTTGTAGTAGTATCTTGCTGGCTTAGGAAATACACTTGTTAGAAGGCAAGTGCTATCAGAACTCAAATTCCTTGAATAGATTATGCACATTCATGTTAGCTCTTCCTGCTGTCACAGGCAGGAATAAAATGTAGGTAACTATCATTCTTCCTGCAAAAGGTACCCTCTGTCACCTCCCCCAGTGCTGGAGGAAGTTGTATTCTTGAAGTTGAGATCCTGCTAAGCTATGCTATGGAAAACAGTATCATGTGTCTAGCACCATGAAGTTTACAGTCACAGGAGGGTGACAGTCTTAACCAATAACGTTACTGCTGCATATGCTGTTGTATTTTTAAAGGGGACAGATGGAATATTCCTTTCCCTTTCAAAAACTTTTGAATGTCTGAAATTGTAAAATTACACATAAATTGCTAATTATTCAGTCTTTATGTGGAAATTCACTAAAACTCTAAATAAAGATAGCTGGATAGGTGAATCAACTTCAGTTAAAAAAAAATTACACTAAATGTAGATATTCTCTGAATTGCTAATTTGAAGGTCTTATTTTTGTCTTGGATGCTTTAAATGGCATACATAATACAAGGCTGAGTCAAGGCTTAGCTACTGGCTGGGTTTGTATATAATTATGTAATTCTTTTACATAATTTACTTTTTGAGATCAGTTGTCTGTCAGTGTGAGTGTTATTTTGGTGAACATAACGAAACTCCAAAAATCCAGGTCATTCTACTGATAAAGTGTAACAAAAATAAACATAATTACAGGTAGAAATTAAATAGGATGCTAAGTGTTGTAGAAACCCTTTAACAATGTTAATATGTTGCCATGTTGTTGTTGTTGTTTTTTAGGTACTGTTCCTGGACCAATTTTGTTTGGCTTTGCAATAGATAAGAGTTGTTCTCTGTGGGATGTTGATGAATGTAAAACTAAAGGAGCCTGCTGGGTTTATGACAATGAAAAAATGGCATATCTTTTGATGAGCATGAGTAAGTGACTTCATACTAAATACATGTACAAGGCAATTGATGTATTGACGTTAGCTACCTTGACTACTAGGTGGGGGTTTTTTAAAACAGCCTTGAACTGTTTTTTTGTTTTTTTTTTTTTTTGTTTGTTTTTTTAATTAACAGTTAAAACAACAGTAGCAATAACAATAAACTTTGTTTTTCCCAAATAATAAAAAGCAAAATACTGGAGGAGAGGATGCAAGACTCCATTGAGTTACTCTTAAGAATAGCCTAGAAGAGAAAACAATAACACACAATAATTTTGCTCTTCTGAATTCTGAGGGATTGGCACACATTTCAGTCTTATCTGTTGTGGTCTGCTGATAGCTTAAGGTCTAAAGGACTTCTGTACTTCTGTCATACTCTGGTTTTTTTCACTCAGTTAACTTAAGAATTCAGTTAAGTGTCTCTGAATAGTAGCAAAAAATTTTCCCAAGCTCTTCAACAGGCTGTTAGTTCTGTGTGTGTGAAATGCACATCTGGAGGAGGGAAGGCAGGCTGTGATTTTTTTAAAATGCAGTTGTAATACCTTCTAGTGGTTGTAGTACTTATGGTGTATAAACTGAATTGCTAGTACTAATCTTCAAGCTGAAAAATGAAGAGTCACATCATCAAATTTTGGAATCTTTTGGATGTGGATGTATTTCAGTGGTAGAACATGATCATGTGTAAGACAGACACCACTCAGTACCTTTGGGTAAATTGAATGACTTTTTTCAAGGTAGCTGAGGGAGAGTACTTGTCATAGTCACTTCTAGTTTGAGGCAAAGAGTACTGATGCAATAAGGAACAGTAGTGAAGAAAGAAGTAAGGAAGACTTGCACTTCAGGCTAGAATGGGGTGAGGAAATATAGAACTGAAGTAATAGTAATAGCTGCTGATGCAGGCAAGAACCAGAAGGCAGATAAGCTCTCTAAAGTCAGTTGAAAGTTTACTTGTCCTTTGAGTTAATCTAAAGCATATTTTTAATTGATATTATGAATTTCAATATGTTTAACATCTGACAGTGTGTTTCACTGTGTGAAACTGTAAATGGCTGAAATACTCGTCTCACCATCAAAGATGACTGCAACAAAGACTCTTCTATTCTCTGCATTTAGGTGCTGCTTGCAAAATCATCACGATCATCTTTGTGATCATGGCAGTGTTTTTGTATAAACCTCCACGGCCAAGGCCAGTTCTGCCACAAAAGGATTCAGAAATGGTATCTGCTATACATGCATAAATTTTGAGCAAATCAGTGACTTTCAAAACAGATTAAGAGTAAGCTTCACTGTGTACATTTAAAAAAAGACCCTTAAATTTCTAGTCTCATTTATAACTTGAATAAAATGTGGTAGAATATTCCAATCTCTGTTATCCCCCACGCCCTCACTTTGTCTCCCTTCCCCCCTCTCCCCTCCCTCACCCACCCAATCAAAAAAAAAAAAAGGCAAAAGATAACATGAACTGGATTGGCTGACTGTGAGCCACGTATGTGGAACCTGGTTGATTGAAGGGAACTGTCACTGTTTAAAACGGGGATTATTTCATTGTGCACACTTTCTGAACTAGTATGTTAGATACAAGTTTTGAGCGTAGATATGCCAGGGTATGTGCAAGTAAGGACATGTTTTAAATAGTTTTACATGTTACCTTAATGGTGTATGCTCACTTGCTAGTATTTGTAGAAAACTGTAAATTGTTGTAGGTAGATGCATTTGTGACAGCAAAATGTTATTTAAGTGCCTTAGTTTCTATTTGAAATCTGTACAGAAAGATGCTGTTAAGCTCCTTCCTTTAGGCATAGTTAACATTTTTTTCTATAAAACTGTGAAAATAAAATCTATTTTCTTACGACTTCTCTGTATGCATCTTATTTCTATGTGACTAAGTCCTAGACTTCTGAACTCAAAGAAATGCTGAAAAATGGCAGAAAATGGGTATGCAAGTAGCAAAACTAGAAAAATGTATCTTCAATTATTCCTCTTTGCTTACTGTGCACTATTATTACTGTGTTCTTGCTTAGTGCACCAGCTGAGACTTAGCCACTGGTATCAAATATTAAATTTCATTGCCCACTACTGAAATTATTCAATATTTGCTGAAATTTTTCAATGAACAAGTTAATGTGCTTATTTTAGTTAATATAAGCCAACTTTCTTTTGTGCTGATGATGCAGTTTTATGTAGCTATGTATACTTGTTTTCTCTGGTTACATGGACACACTGAGTCTACTAAAAAAATTTCAAAGAAGCACTGAAGCAAAGTAATATTTAATCAGAGTATCTACATGCAGCTTTTGAAGCATGAAGATGGTACATAAACAACTCAAGACATTGTAGATTTTTTCCTTTTTTTTTTTTTTTTTTTTTTTGAGCTAGAACTGTTCGGAAGAGTGGAACTAAAAACACGACAGCAGAATGCACAACCTTAAAGCACAAGGCTGCATGTTTTTCCAGACAGAGGAGTAAAGCAGTAGAATACATCTAAGCTTACTCTTTATCTAGTTGACAGTCTCCTGGTAACAGAGCTGCCTTATAAATGAGCTAATAGAGCTGGTTAACTTCCCTTGAAATGACTAAATACTGATCTTCTAGAAGCCTAGAAGTAACAGCCTAAGACTTAGAATTTGGTTTCTGGCTCTGAGTTGCTCTCTGTAGGGTGTAACAAATCATAATTGTTTTAAAGGTGTGTGTTACAGTGGCTACATTGGCAAACTTGCTTCTCTCAGTCTGACTTAAGATGTGAAATCATTGTTTAATTTCTACTGCTTAACATGATTGAACATATTACAAAATTGTGGAGCAGAGAAACAGGATATTCCTCCTCTTCTGAGGAAATTATTAGAACTTGTAGTTGCTATTGGAGTGGTTATTTGGGTGGAGAAGGAAGGAAGTATTGCCATGGTGTAAAATTACAGTTAAATTAAAAGTTGCAACAGCCTTCATTTTTGACTTGCTAAAGATTACACTCACTAATTCAGGAGGAGCATGAGAATGATCAGAAAGGAACCAAATATTTAGAACTGCGAAGGCTTCCTTATTTCCTTTGTATTATAGCAATGTTCATTCTGCAAACAATAGTAGAAAATAGTGTGTCAAAGATTCTACTAAGTTGAGACAAACATCACAGACAAGCTGACGAAGTATAGCTTACATAACTGAAGATGGATTAAAAACTGCCCAAATGTCTGAGCCTTGTGGATTGAAAGTCTAGTTGGCCCTAGTGATCTACCCGTGGGACCAGTCCAATTCAAGTTTAATGACCTGTGTGATGGATAACCAAAGATGAATGGTGAGAAAGTAGTGAAATGGATGAAGTTTCATGAAGTTCAGCAAGAGGAAATGCAAGGTTTGGTGTATTTGAAAGAATGGCACCAGGTGGGAATATGCAGTCAGAAGGAAAAGAGTGAAGGACACTGGTTTTATGATGGGCAAGCTGACTGTGACACAGCATAGCCCATTCTGCAAAAATGCCACTGGGATCATTGGTTACATTAAGTACAGCATTGCTAGCAGTTTCAACTCTACACAACACAGCTGTAGTGCTGTCTGGTTCTGATGTCTTCAATACAGGAGATTAGCAGATGTATTAAAACAAGGGAGGAGGCAAGGTTATAAAGATGGCTGAGGCAGAGCATCTTTCATGCAGTTTGAGAGAGAGCTCAGAATGTTCCATCAGCATGGAGAAAACACTTAAGAAATACATATAAAATCTCATGGCAGAGAATGAAAAGGAGCAAGCCAAACTCTTGTCAGTAGTGCCCAGCTGATTAGACAAGAATAAATGGTCACAAGCTGAAACATTAAATTCTATTGATACTTAGTAAGTTGTGTTTTTTAATTATTTTGTTTTAAACCCTCAGGGTTTAACATTAAGAACATCAAACATTAGAACAGGGTATAGAATCTCCATTCTTGGCAATGTTTAAAAACTGGATTGGCTCCTGTGCAGGGTTGTTGGGCTAGATAATCACAAGAGGTTGTTTCCAAACTAAACAGATCTGTGATTCTGTGAAATACTTGTCATTATGGTGGCACTTGTTCCCCATTCTATGTGATGTGTAACTTCTATATGGATTCTTGCAAAGGAAGAACTTTCTGTTATTGCACAGTGTCCTTTTTTTTTTTTTTTTGTATGTGTAGTGTAATGCTTGTACATTACACTAAGCTGTGTTTAGCAGCTAATACAATGTGAATGTCTCACTTGGTGATACCAGTTCTGTTTATCAAGATAAGCAAAACAGTTCCAACAGCAATTGACAACCTTCTGGGATTTGTGTGTGCTTTGTGAAATACTGTTTAGATTGCTTGGAGCAAACTCAAGTGTTATCTAAAATAAAGGTAATTTAAAACTTTCTGAAATTTGCATCTCCCAGCTGACATGATTATTTTTAGAAGCAATTCCTAGTTTAAATGAAGGCTGTCATCGTAGCTGAACACAGGGTTTTAATTAACCTCTGAGCCAGAAGGAAGCTTCTAACCCTGAATATAATGCCCTCTATTCCTAGCTGAAGTGAAGTCTCAAAAATCTTACTGAAGTCTCTTCTTGGGGTCTGTTACTTTCATGACTAATAGTGTTTTTATACATTTCTAAAAAAAATTTAAGTATAGTCTGCTTATTCACAGTAGCCGATTTTACTTCTGTTGTAGCTTTTTGATAATCTAAGATAACAGTAAAGTTTTGGGGTTCTGTTTCTTTTTATGTTATAATGTGCTGCTTGCTTGTTATAGCATAGAACTCCACCATAATGTAATGCAGATACTAGCAGAGTACAATGAAGAAAATACAGATTTTAGGTGTTGACTTCAGAAGTGCATTTTTCTATTTGACAGCTTACCTATAAATTTGGAAGAGTACTAAGATCTTCCAGGGTTATTTCTCCTTTCCTATAACAACAGGAAGCCTTTGTTAGAGAGTGCTACGAATTTGAAAATGTTTTGGCTACTATAACTAGGGCTGAAAAAAAGAAGTAGTATGTATGCAGTAGTTCACCTGACTAGTCTGATCAGTAAAGAAGATGGAAAAAGCAGGCAAAACCAAAGGATTAACAGGACTTGTTCCACACAGAATATCCCATGAGAAAAAATGTAAGTACTTCTGATGTAGATTGTGTAAAGGATAAGACTTTAAAGAGACAGCTTATTCTAGTGGTTGGTAACCCTACACATAGCAGGGGGTTGAAACTAGATGATCATGTGTTCCTTTTCAATCCAGGCCATTCTGTGATTTATCCATTGATATTAAACTGATCATTGAGGACAAAAGTCCGTTCTCCCACAGAAAGTAGGTAATTTTCATTGTATCCTTGATGTTTTCACACTAAATACAACCACAGATAGTTTACATTTTCTGGAACATTAATTTAGGTCTTCAGGTCTCTTATTTGGTGAAAGCAAATATTGCAGTATATTTAAATGAAAAAAAAAATGCTTTCTGTCTCATTTTTTTTTAATATTAATTATAGTTCTTGTCTTGCCTGGTCCTCTGAGCAGGAGGGCCATGACTGTGGGAGCAGTGACTTCTCATGTGCGGCTACTGAAATTGTAAGGAAACCAGCTAAACATTCCTAAGCCAGTGCAGCCTGGCCGGACTCACCTCACAGTGCTGAAGGAGTTAGCAAATGTTATAGCTGGGCAGCTCTCAACAATTTGCCAAACGTCTCGGGAGTCTGGGGATGTCTCTGCTGAATAGAAGCTGGCCAATGTTATATTCTTCTACATATGGCATGAGAGAAGACCAAACTACAGACCTATATCTGATCTTCATCTCTGGAAAAGTTATGGAAATGATTATTCTGCATGTTGAAATGCAGAGAAGAAAGCTGATATCAAATATAAATCAGCGTGGGTTCATGAAGGGTAAGTCCTCTTAGTAATTTGATCTCAGTCTATGTTAAGGTCACATGCTTAGCAATGAAGGGAAGGCAGAGAATGTAATCTTTATGGATTTTAGTATGGCCTTTGACACTTTCTGTCACAGTATTCTTCTTGACAGATTATTCAACTGTGAGATGAGCAGATTCATGCTATGTTGAGTGATGAACTGGCTCAGTGCTAGAGCTCAGAAGGTTGTAGTGAACAAGGCTACAGCTGGCTGGTGATCAGTTATTAGCTGTGTTTCCTAGTGCACAGTTCTAGAGCTAGTCCTGGATAGCTGGGACAGATCAGTGCCAAACACAGGCACTAAGTAGAAGATGAGTGGCTGGAGAGCAACTCAGCAGCAGCAGCTCAGCGTAAGCCAGCAGTGTGTTCTGGATGCCAAGAAGGCAAAGTGCATTTTGGAATGCATTGAATACAGGCAATCAACTATGAGAGATGGTTCTCCTGCTATATTTAGCATTGGTGCTGCTGCACCTTGAATACTGCATGCTGTTCAAGGTGTCCTCAATAGCTAAGGATGTTAAGGTACTTGAAAACATGTAGAGAACGGCAACAAAGCTGGTCTGGAAGGCAT